CAATTTTCATAGCTCATAACCGAAGAACAAAACGAAGCAAGATTCGACTGTTTCGGAATGCCTTATGTCTTATGGTGCTTTCTTAAACAACTTCATGCTTACTGGTCTGAATCTTCTACATCCACTGTCAGAGAGCAGAGATGTTCCACCAGATAAGAATAAATGAAAATTGACATCCATGCACAGCGTATTCTAGGGATTGACTAGCGAAAAAAAAAGCTCCAATGTGTTTGTAATGTGCGCAAGGAATATCTTGCGCACCTTGTATAGCTCATTACGTCCGGGATATAAATTCGGTAGACTATATGATTCGGATGCAAGAGCCTACAAAGCCATCGTTATGTCGTCGGTTATATAGACACCCTGAATGAAGACGAAGAAGCAATTTAGTTCTCAAGCCGGTCAAACAAATACATTTAGCTGGCGGTTCCACATCCACAAAGGGCTTAGGAGTCGCTAAAAAATTCTTGGGTGTGTTATGGGATCCGGCAACTGATATACTAAAGTATGTTTTCAAATGTGTAACACTATTTAACACTAATTTTCCTCATGGTCCGGAAACCCACATGAGGTGGATGTCATGCTGCCCCGCATCTATTTCAGAGATTCCTGACTGTCGTTTACTATCCTAGAGTTAGATGAGAACCGTTCAAAAGCCCTGCGTGCTGCTTGAATTTCTGAGAAGGTACAAATCGTTTCTTAAGTGCCAGGAAGCGCTGGGGATTCAGGATAGTAATCAGGGCTTTGAAGGACCCCATTTAGACACAAAACGCTCGCAGTCAAAACCACCTCCCACCTGGCCATTCAGCTTTAAGCCATCCGTGTATATATGGAGGGAATCCGCTGGTTCCAGGATTAGTACATATCATTCTTTCGTAGATGGGATGGAGACCTGATAGTTTCAGTTAGTATGCTCGACGGGTATAAAGTAGTCCGTACCCTCCATAGGCGTGAACGGTATAAGTCCAACTTGGTATGACTATAATAAGTCTTTTTCCATAAGCCCGACTTTCGTTATATAAATTCTGATAGCATAGCTACCTTAACCCCCATTATCGCAATAGGCAGTAGGTCGACGATTTAGTCTAGGGCATCAGTTGCTACGAAGGCTACCTGTTTATCGTTACGTTCCAAAGTAGGAGAAAAGTACACCACCTGGCGGAGTGTCTTTCCAAACGAATCTTTGAATAGACTCTCCTCCTAGTGACGCCATCCGTGTCACAGTTTACACACGGTTTACACTGGACAACAGTCTAGTTTAACAGGACCTGGGATAGAAAAACACTTTTATAAAATGCACGGATTGATCGTCTACCCCTAGTCCCGCTAGCGCTTTGGTTATTGAACATGGCAGGATGTTGTTAAGAGCACTTTCAATGTCTAGAAAAGTAATAGGCGCATATTTCATGTCACTAAGTTCTATTTCGACGCACATAGTGATCTCGTGGAGGGCCGTCTCTCTAAAGAGTAGTTTTTAAAAAACGTATCCGATGCACATCCGACATATTGACTTCGACACGTTCTGATCTGTTGGGGCAAGAATGATTGATGAAAATTGATCAGTCACTGAAAAGCTTGCAACTGCATTCCTCTTTTAGAAGTGGAGCTTCATGCGTAGCTCTAACTTTGACGGCATAATGTCTAACATTAAAAGTATCAACTTGAGTCCCAGAAATTTGATTTGTTTTAAGTTATTTTAGTAAAATGTATTAATTTTAACTAGGTTTATAAAGGCCAAACATGCTTCTGCCGCTTCATATACCCATTTACGCTTAAGCTAAGACTCATTTTGGGCTACCCCAAGAGGTATGTCGGCGGATGCTGATATACTTGTATAATGTATATTAGAGAATTACAGCTTATACAAAAATGTTTTTTTCGGGCGGCTTCCACTGCAAACCACCTTTCCTCCAACCAATTTTTCCAATCAATTTTTCCTCCAGAAAATTTTTTTGTACAAATTTGATGTGATCTAAAAGTACTCTATTTTGATGGTTTTAAACAAATGATGCATACTTAAGTATCGAACGAGCCAAAGATATATATAAAGTTTTAGTTAACTTGTGCTCATTAAATCAATTTATTAGGCTTGAGGTCATTTTCTAAACCAGTAGGGCCGGCACGGCCCTATCCCGAGGTCATAGGAAATTTCTCTGCCCAAGCTCTGCCACACACACACAGTATAAATGTGTGAAACGTCATGCAGCCTACTTTCTGCTATTTGTTACTAATACTAATGCGTTAAAATCATATCAATGTATTGGGGTGCCGACCACTGTTCTAAACACATTTTTTAAAGAGTATTCAAACCATTTTGAAGTCTAGATTCGGCACTAGTGAATTCATACTAAAGACAAAGCTTAATTGTTTGGTCATTGAGAGTTTTCAATGCCGGGAAATGAAAAGCGAAATTTAATTATTTTACGTTATATTTTAATTATACTGCAGGCAGATGAAACTGGGATCAACCATTGTGATCATCCAGTTTATGGTGCTAAGTAGTGACTATTAATATGGACAGAGAGTGCTGCTCGACTAGACATACGCGAAGCTAAAGCTGTCGATAGCGGAGAGGGCGGCCCGACATAGTGATTGCGAAGATAAAGCTCTCTTAAAATAGGCCCGTTGAAGTCGAGCGGCCGAGAAAGAGTCGGCTTGCGACCAACTAAGGCGATATATCCATACCTTAGCTTAATAAATAAACTATAACTAATTTAGCGGCTGCTGCTTGACCCGACACTTACTATTAAGCTAATATTGGTATCAGCACACATAATACCAGGAAGATCAGTTGGGAAACCCAAAAGACTTAGTTACTAAAAAGGGAAAAATTGATTAACAGATTCAAATGCCTTACTAAAATCTGTTAATGGCATCTGTTTGTCCGGAATCCATCCATGACAAAAGATTTTTTATCCCCCAAAAAAATGGTGGTAGAGGTGTGGCGCTTCATGAAATGAAGAAATTATTGAGATGTAAAGTAAAAAAAATAATTTCTTGCAAATGTGAAGAAGTTCGTTTTTCAGAAAGCTTTTGAATTTCTGACAAGTTAGAAATGTCTCTATAATTGGCAGTGTATGATTGTTCCGTTGTTTATGCAGAAAATAGTTTAAGATTCCTTCCAAATGAGAAGTTTCCAGAGACCTGGTTAACAAATGGTTTAACCCTTAAGAGGAACCGATAACAAACCACTTTTAGAAAAAGATGGTCAAAAAGTAAGATTGGCTCTTATATGTGTAATGCTGATTCGGATTGGTGGAAGGTAAGCAGCGGAGGAAAATATACATGTTTACGTTAAATGTTTACATAGTTATAAGACTGGTTCGGATCATGAGTAAACGGAATCCGGCAGCGGTCTTAATTGACTCTTATGCATGGTCTTAATTGAACAGAACAATTTTAATTTCATATTAAGATCAAAGGTAACAAAAATATCAAGAACAAATATACCTTGAACTACTGTACCAAATAAAAACAAAGCGAGAACTTTGCAACGGAAACTGCGGAAATAAAGATAAGAATCTCTATTGCACAAGAAAAAAGGGTCACAACACAAAAAGAGGGAAGATGGAGAGCCGAGCGATATTTGTAAGGAAATTAAAAACTTATTAATTTGCCTCCAAATATACCACAGCACACGCGAAGCGATATGGTTTTTTTTTTAATTATGTGAATATCCATATATCCATATCCAATAACTAGCTAAGATTTTGGAGAAATATTCCACAGTAGCGAAAGTTTCCTATGCTGTTTACTGTATTTTACTTTTGCATTTAGGAGTGCAGCGACACCAGTCGGGGAGCTTTTTCACCGGTCCCAGAACATATATGCCAATATAATTAAAGAACTATATTGGACGTGGTGAAAGACCGGGGAAAGGCAGCAGTATCTTTTGTCCTGTCCCAAAACATAAATTCCAATATAATTCAAAACCGATATTGGTCATCCGAACCGATACAGATGACACGGATATTTGGCACTATAATAGGTTTATAGTGTCAATTTCAATATAGGTTTTTGAAAAACTTTAAGAACTGGGCATGCATTTTTGTATCTATGAATGTATGTTTTAAATATCCCTTTGTAGCTACGGGAGATAAAGACGGGGAAGACGAGACATAAAATATGGAATCGTCCATGCCTAAGCTAAATGATGATATTTTATCGGGTGCTCTCCCAAATTAGGGATCCGATATTACCCGGCTCGTTCGGTAGGTAGTTCGTTGTAAAATTTGTTGAAGGGTTCGTTCTAAAGTTGTTTGTGAATCTCCTGAACCGCAATATACACAATATAAGGGGTATAAGGGGAAAAGGGGTAGAATAAACGAAAACCTCACTGAGTCTTCTTTATCCTATCTTTATCCAACCAAGCAAGGCTTATCCAACCTGAGGCTAAATTTATCCAACCAAGCAAGGACTTTCTATTTTGCTGATTAGATACTGAAGATCCCGTATAACCAGAGGAAGGAATTTTACACTATGAATCAAAATGGGAGCAAATGAGAGAAAAATTTGAGAGTGTTCATATTGTCAGTGTGCCGGCAGCGCTGCGGCAGAATTTCCTACCATATACTCGCGTGCTATGTAAAATGAGAGTTTGCCCACCACTGATCTAGAGTGAAACGGAGGAAATGGGATAAATGGAATAAGGGAATGTGTTACATGGTTGCTATACATTTTGATGTTTAAATTTGAATGTTGTGGAAGTTTTACTGTTGTTTAATGTCTAACATGTGCTAATCGATGTGAGCCAGACCCATGCCAATAGGCGGCCCATAGGACCCGAAATTAAAATTTTTTAAGATTTACAAGTTTACAAGAACAGCGATCATCTTAAAAATGCCACAGCATTTGCAATACGACAATATTTCCTTTCGAAAATTTTTTCTTAACTGTTTTCACTATTTATAGGAAAATAGCTTAAAAAATTGTAGTCTTAGAAGAATTTGAAGTCGTCAAAATATAGTACTTTCCTTTATTATTTTACTTACTTTTTTCAGCTCTTGCTCTATGCGATTGGTCACAGTTACAACAAAGGAGGAGAAACTTAGCTCGTCGTCACTGTTCCCCTCGGGAATCATCTTCATACTTTTCAAAAATGTCTGAAATTGGATGTACAGAGATCGATAACTTGATTAAACAATTAAAAATAATATCATTTGAAAAATCATACGATATAAAACACCTAATTCTCAAAGCGAGCGCCAATATGTTTTGCCAATATATGTGTTCAACTCGGTTTAATTACAAAGATAAAGAGTTTCAAAAAATAGTTGAATACTTTGATGAAATATTTTGGGAAATTAACCAGGGATATTCACTCGATTTCTTGCCATGGCTTAAACCTTTTTATAGTTGTCACACAAAGAAGATTATGCATTGGTCTACAACAATAAGAAAATTTATTTTGGATAGAATTATCAACCAAAGGGAGAAAAGGGTGGATTTAGATGAACCTGATAAAGACTTTATTGATTCTTTGCTTAAGAGTTTAAAGCAGGATAAGGATGTATCCCGAAACACTATAATTTTTATGCTGGAAGATTTTATTGGTGGACACTCAGCTGTCGGAAACTTAGTTATGTTAGCTCTGTCATATATAGCAAAGAATCCTATGATTGGTGAAAAAATTGAGAAAGAGGTTTACAATATATCACAAAAGGGATCCCGAAGAATCAGCCTTTTAGATATGAAAACAATGCCATACACCATGGCGACTATTTTGGAAGTACTTCGCTGCTCTTCTTCTCCTATAGTTCCACATGTAGCAATGGAAGACACAGTAGTTGCAGGTTTTGGGGTAACAAAAGGAACTATTATATTTATAAATAACTATACGTTAAATATGAGCGATAAATACTGGCTAAATCCAGAAAAGTTTGAACCTGAACGATTTTTGGAAGAATACACCCACTCTTTGAAAACAAATAAAAATAGACGAAGTTCAAATGGCTCAGACTCTGGTATTGAGTTCGAAAGTGATAGAGGAATTGGCAATAAAAAAATAATTAATCAAAACGTTTCAAAAAAAAATGGTAAACAGTCAACAAAAATTAAATTATATAAGCTAAAAAAAAATGTGACTCATTTCCTTCCCTTTAGTATAGGTAAGCGCACGTGTATTGGACAAAATTTGGTAAAAGGTTTTGGATTTATTTTATTAGCAAACATATTGCAAAATTTTTATGTAACAAGTATAGATTTATCAAAAGTAATTGTCCATAAAGCATCTGTGGCCTTACCGGCAAAATGTTTTGAGTTAGTATTGTGTCCCAGAGTAGAACCTTTTAAAAAAGTAACTTAAGTTATGAAAATGTACCTACATTAAACAAAAGAATTCTTACAAATATTAATTTGTTTGGTTTACTCAAAAATAAACCATTTAATTTTTAAGCGCCTTTTCGACTTATTAGATTAACGATTAAATAAAATAATATAGTAGATGGCTGGAACACATGCTTTTTCTTTAACAAATTTTACATCTTCTATATAAGTTAACTGAAGTTAACGGAGCAGCGGCAATGTCCTGTTATTTAAGAGCTCGCTCTGGCCAAACTGCTGACACAGCGTCTGACCGGATGCCCATACATAGTGGCGAGCACTGCATATTTGCGTGGCCGCTATGAAATACATTTTGTTGGCTTTAAGTTTCAGTTTGTATCAGAACGTCACTCAATAAAGAGGACTTGGTTTCAATACTCCGGCATAGCCGTTAAAGAGTAAATTCATTTTATTGAATTGGTCACCGCGCCTCAAGGGCCGTGATTATGGAGCAAGTGCTACCACCGTAATTCCTGCCATAGAAGGAATTTCCCTCGGCAACCGCCAGGGACCCAAACATCGCTTACTATCTACGAGGAGAAGCAACCCCCTCGGCAACCGCCAGGGACGACTACACCATCATCTCTCTAGCTTTTCCGACACCACTGGCTGCAGCGAGGGATAACCGATTATAAAATAATATACCACACCATATTATAATTTACTGGCGCCCAACGAAAACATCATGTAAGTGAGCTTTTTTATCCACATAAATACCCTTTACGTCTGCATCATAAATTTCATTCAATAAAAAAAAAGTGAAATATCGCTCCTTACACTGACAGCAAAAAAAAAAGAAAAGAAAAAACTGCAGCCCCATAAACCTTTTCAGTTTAAAAAATTCCCATTAATTGGGCGGAATAAAAATTCTTAACCAAGGAGAAAAAACCGCTGTCAAAAAATTTAAATTTCGATCCGAAATAATTCATATAATTCTTGGTTACACAAGAATTCTTGGTAATAGCTGCGCTGTCTTGGTTATTTATTTTTCTTTTCCGTTATTTTTCCCCACTCCATTTTCGAGAACACGATACGGCCGCACATGCAGTGTGTGGCACTTTGTTGTTTTTATTTTTTCTTGTTTGTCATAAGCGGAGGCTCAGTCCCCGCGCCCCCCACCTTGTCACTACTTTGGCAAGGCAACAGCGCAGTTCGACAAGCTCGCACACATAACTGAAGCGGCGGCTCAGACCTCTATAGGCATGCAATTCGAGCATGCATTATTTCTTTTGGGCGATGTTATGGCTACAGCTCCACATGAGCAATCTCTATCCCCAGTAAAGGAGTACAAGGCAACTCTCTAGTGATTCTGAGTCCGAGACCGAAGGGCCGGCCAGATTTTCCACCCCAAAAAGCGCTAACGCTAGCGCTCCCAAACTCGCGAACATGGCTTTCAACATGAAACAAATGACGGCCACCATACAGGCAGCCGTTCAACGTGCTGTTCAAGAAGCCAATATTGAAAACCAGCGTAGGGAAAACGAAATGCGCCTGGCTTTTCAAGAAGCCAACACTGAAAGCCAGCGTAGACAAAATGAGCAGCGTCTAGCTATACAGAAACTGAACGGCCGACTCAATGAGGTACAAATCGCTCGCGCCCAAGCGGAAAGCCTGAAAGCCAGCGTAGACAAAATGAGCAGCGTCTAGCTATACAGAAACTGAACGGCCGACTCAATGAGGTACAAATCGCTCGCGCCCAAGCGGAAACCCGTTTATATGTTAAGGTTTATGAGCCAATAGAAATAAGGGATAATGTCAAATGTGACGAGCCCCTAAATGCCGTTTAGTGCCTGCCCGAATTTACGGGATCAAAGGACGCATACGTCTCCTGGCGGCAAGCGGTAGTAGCCGCATATTATGCTCCGAAAAGTACGAAAGGTACTCCTTCAAAGATTCATTTGCGAAGGGTCAGGAAGACAGGGATAGGAAACAGTATCCGAAGCCGCAAGAACGCCAATAGGCTTCTGCGCATGCAAATTCCCAGATAATAACGGGCAAAAGTTAATACTACACCAACCAACACAAGGTGCAAGTACACTCTGCTCCATGCAGTGCAGACACCCCGAACCCATGGACATTGACCCATCGCTGTCCAAGATGCTTAATCCATCTTAGGCCTCGTCATACCGAAACCGAGAGCCAGCCGTGCCCGACCGATTGGGCTTACACAACAGGCAGAGGGTTCACCACGTCGTGCAGAGCGCAGGCGAAACCGGGGAGAAATACAGCGGCGCAGCTTCAACCGCCCATCAGGAAATTGATTACGACGCCATTCAAGAATATGATTCGGACGTCATTCATTTTTTTAAGGAAAACCCCTGCTACACGTCGGCCAACGACAATAGGCCAGCCGACGCGGTTAAAACGGAATCGAAAGACCCGCAATACGCGATACAGAATACTATTAAACACGCCCAAGATAAGTTCCTGGACAGGGAAAACGCCTCCCTGCAAAAAAGGGTCTTCGAGGTTGGCGAAAAAGCCCTAGTGAAGTCCAACAGAAGCCTAGGAAATAAACTCTCACTGTTATGTGAAGAAAAAACCGTTGAAGCGGACATGGGGACCACAGTCTTCATTAAGAGGGGGGTGGTCCACAAAGACAACCTTAGGTAGGCCGGGCGTAACTATATTTTCTATTACTGTCCTTTTTCCTAGCCACTTGGCATAAGTCTTGCTTCCATTATTATTTTAATCACGCTTTGGTGGTGGGCTACCCAAACTCAACAAAATTTACAGCACATCCAAATTATAAATGCAAACAATAGGCAAGTCAATATTAACAGTAAAATACAAATTCAAATTAATAAAATTTTCGCTGCCGTCAACCAACTTCTGAGGTCAGCTAAAAAGCCCCAAGTTGATACAGGGCACCTAGTCGAGATGCTTTTAACTTGAAATAGGATGATAGCAATGGAGCTGCAGGGTTTAATGCTGGCAGTACTACTTGCCAAAGTTAATGTTGTCAGCCCTAGCATCCTAGATCATGCAGACCTAGAAGGTGTGTGGATGGAAGAGCCCACCGAGACCGCGATTAGAGATATTTTGTCCGGACCATACGGACGGTTAAAATTTTACAGTCCGATAACATCTTACATTTTATCATTAAGTTTCCGAAAATAATGTCGGCCTGCAGCAAGATCACCGTTTTCCCGGTGTCACATCACGACATTATACTCAGGCTGGAAGACAACGTCATTGCCGAATGCGACGGTGACATCCACACCGTGGAAAAGTGCTCCCTGACATCAGGAGCTAAATTTTGCCGGCTGTCTCGCAGAAGATCATGCGCCGAAGAGCTTCACGTTGGAGGCACGGCGTATTGCGCGATCCAATAAAGCGATTTACACCCCATCACTTACGTTGATGAAGGAATAGTAATTGTAAATGATCGCTCGGCTCACGTGTTTGTGGACAATGGCACCTGTGTCCATAAAAAAGGCACATATCTCGTCACCTTTGAAAGGAGTGCCATTGTCAATGAAACCCGATGGGTCAATCATGACACAACCCGGAAGAGGGCTCCAGGAGTGGCCAGCTCACCCTCCATTAACGTTACTATGGAACGTAATGGAACGCCTTACCTTAGTCTCCCTTACCTTCACCGGTTGAGTGAACGTAACCTGAAACATATTATGGAGTTCGGGGAGAAGATTAACCACCATCAGTTACATCAGATGCTGTTCATAGCGGGAGCAACATGCTGCGCTTTAATTTGCATCGGCTTGACCTATCGATGAGTCCCCGAAGAACCGCGGCCCAACTAAAGGAGATGATTGCCCAAATAGGGTCGGCCAAGGGCGGCCTCATTCTTCTTCATAACTGAAGTTAACGGAGCAGCGGCAATGTCCGGTTATTTAAGAGCTCGCTCTGGCCAAACTGCTGACACAGCTTCTGGCCGGATGCGCATACATAGAAATACATTTTGTTGGCTTTAAGTTTCAGTTTGTATCAGAACGTAACTCAATAAAGAGGACTTGGTTTCAATACTCCGGCACAGCCGTTAAATAGTAAATTCATTTTTAATTCATTCAGCTCGGAGCAGAGCAGAGCATTCCATTTTCATTTTTCTGCTACGGCTCTGCTTCCGCTGCTACGGAGTAGTAAATGCAAACCCTGTTTTTTGGTAACTATTGGTGTCTTCTCAGAAACCAATACAAGAAACCAACAATGCCAGCAACCAGACATACAAACTTAAGCCGCAGAACTCGAAATACGGCAAAGATATATAAGAGCAAATCTATCTGATGAGCAACGCAAAGCGCGAAATGAACTTCAACGGAATCGAAATCAACATAGAAATGTTGGGTTTAATCCCCACAGAGCTGCATTCAGTTATAATGTGGCAATTGATTACAGTTCAGAGAAAATTGTTGCTATTGGACTAATGAATATTGTGTGTCCACATTGCAATGCATTGGACTTCAAAAAAGAAGTTCCTGGATTGTGTTGCGCCAGCGGCCAAGTCAAATTGATGCCATTGGTACCACCACCAGAGCCACTACATTCATTGGTTTCCGGAAATGGGCCAGATTCTAATCATTTTTTGACTCATATTTAGCAGTACAATAATTGCTTTCAAATGACGTCATTTGGCACAACAAAAGTAATTCGAGACCATTTTTGACCTCCTTTCAAGGTAAGTAAGTATAGTGGCAAACAATTTGCTATATATTACATAATTATATTCTTGCAGATTCAGGGTCAAATATATCATAGAACAGGTTCCTTATTGCCAATGCCTGATGAAAACTATAAATTTTTGCAATTCAACAAGAGAAGTCGATCAGCGTTGTGCACACAACAACTCAGTGAAAAGATCCATTGTGGAACAACATTAAACATTTTTCCATCAACACAATGAATAGTTGCATTATTCACAACTGCATTAGACCGCATGCCATCAGATAATCAGCCGCCTGCAAGAAAACATGCTGGACGTTTTAATGCGCCAACAATTGCTATTGTCGTCGTAAGAGAAAATTTAGAAAACGAGGCATTGTTTTACATCGGCGGAACTATCAACTTCAGCGTGTGTCTGAAACACATCGATCATATGATGCCTTACGATATCCTATCCTATTTTGACAGGGTGAAGATGGCTATCATTTTTCAATTAAGATGATAAATCCAGTTACAGGTAAATTAACAATATATGTTTACTACATTAAAATATATGTTTACTTACTTAAAATTTATATTATTAACACAAAAAATTTTTTACATGTGCTGAAACGAACAAAAAAGTCAGTTCAATGAATTATTATTCATACAGGCTGATGGTTCGGCAAAATGAGGACAATCACATCTTAAAGTGTCAGCGTCTATTTCACCAATATTCTGTGGATATGTATGTGAAAGTTTAAACTGAACGATTGACATTTATCAGGTTGAACCAGGGAAAACTCCGTTCCGAGGAATACATTCATCTTCGGTATGCCATTAATGCTGATGGAAACGCACAGAATGTTGGCAGAACAACTATTCTCCCAGCAAAATACGTCGAAAGTCCGCGATACATGCGTGAATATGCGCAAGATGCGATGTCCTATATACGACATTATGGCACACCAGATTCATCTTCAGATGTGTCTTAGAACATTAAATGCAAATTTGCAAATGAACGAAAAAATTTACAATGAAACATGAATTTTAATTGAGGACATATGCTTGATGCTTACCAACAAAGTATTAACACAAATAGCAATCGTCTAATGCACGACTCATTTGATCAAGAATTGAGACGCGAAGCCCAATACGATTCCGAAACATTAAGAGAAATGGTTGATAGAACAGTTCCCCTTTTAAATCAACAACAAAATACGCCTACGGTACGTTCATGAAAGTAGTGAACGATGGATCTGGAGGATTTTATTTTTTAGATGCTCCCGGTGCAACTGGGAAAACTTTTTTGTTATCACTGATTTTGGCAACGATTCGATCGCAAAATGGAATTTCATTAGCCTGGCTTCATCAGGTATTGCAGCTACGTTGTTGAAAGGTGGTCGAATAGCTCATTCAGCTCTCAAGTTGCAGTTGAACCTTCAAATTAATGAGACTTTCGAGGAATACTGCGATGGCAAAAGTACTGCAGCAAACCAGATTGGTCATTTGGTATGAATGTACAATGACACACAAAAAATCTTTGGAGGCATTAGGTCGCTCGATGCCTGATTTACGAAATAACAAAAAACGGTTTGGTGGTGCAATGATACTATTGGCAGGTGATTTTCGACAAATATTGCCAGTGGTACCACGCTCAACGCCTGTTGATGAACTGAATCTCCATTCTGGACAAGTGTTTTCCCAATAACTGATCGATATTGGTAATGGTATTATTGCTGTTGATATATCATCTGGATACATTACATTCTGGACCGAACTCATGGAGATGGTTTTTCCAAACATTGCTCAAAATTACGTAAATCACGTTTGGTTAAGCGAACGTGTTATATTGGCAGAAAAAAATTTTGAATGAAAGAAATGAATTCGTGAATAAAATTAATTTGTGAATGAAATGAATTTTCAGATTCAAGAGAAAATAGCTGGCGAATTGAAGAATTGCAAATCCGTTAATTCCATTACCAATGAAGTTAAAGTTGTCAATTACAAACAGAAATTTTTAAAATCGCTGAAATTGCCCGGCTTACCACCTCATAATCTGCAATTAAAAATTGGATCAGTAATTATTATGTTACGGAACATACACCAGCCACGTCTGTATAATGGCACCCGACTTGCGGTGAAGAAGTTATTGAACGACGTCATCGAAGCCACAATTTTGAAAGGGAAGTATAAAGGCGAAAATGTTTCAATCCCACGCATCCGTATGATAGCGAACGACATGCCATTCAGCTTTAAACGAGTACAGTTTTCAGTGCGGCTTGCATTTGCAATGTCAATAAATAAATCGCAAGGGCAGTCGCTAAAACACTAAAATACTATTACGGACCCTAAAACGAAACAGTACCCGGGGGAAGCTAGTAAAAATATAATTATTATTTGTCAGATCGCCATATCCAAGAATAATAAATATTGGAAAGAACGGAAGTGTTTTAAACCATCTCCGGGCAACTTAAAGAAGGTTTAAACATAAGCGTCATTTAAAGCAAACATATTCTGGGGCAACCTTATAAAAAGATCATAAACTAAAAATTATAAAATGACAAGCTCAGTTAATCTATTAACAATTGCAAATAAGCTGGTGCAATTTCCAGCGAAATAATGAATGTAGAAAAACTAGTATAGTAGAATGTAGTCAGTCTGCACTAAGGTTTTTTGTGTTTGGAATTATATATTTTGATCTATCTTCTATATATATAACAATGAAACCCGTTTCCGTTGTCACGACATCACATGAAAACGGCTTGACCGATTTACACGGTTTTGCATTCGTGGGAAAGGGGCCAGGCGGCGCAAGATTTAACTTATCATACTACAAACCAATATTTTAAGTAGAGGGCACAGGCGCGTAAAACATTGTTTGACAGCTACTAACTGTTCTCTGCTGATTTCATGTGACAAACCAACATTGTGCTTTCTGTCAGATTGTACAAAAAATTTGAAAAAAAAAAATTTTTTTTGTAATATTTCAATTGGAAAACATCAAATCAGTCACGTGTATTTTTAATCAATTTAAACAGCAGTCATTTGTTATTAAGGTGGTAAGTTGAACTGTGTAAATTATGTGGATCGTGCAATTATGGTGAAATTTACCACTCTTTCCATAGTCCAAAATGCCTAGTGGACCACGTTTGAACATCGGCTGCCCAAGACATGTAAGCCAGCAAGGAGTGTATTTACACAACTTAAGAAAAGAAAGACGAACTGTTATAAGAGAAAATGCTAGATTGAAGCAACGCGTGGACACACGAAGATCATTGGCCTCATACAATCGCTTGGCATTCCAATATGATCCCACTGCGAACTCCTGTGATGATGAAAATAAAAATATTGGACCAATGACGACTATATGCCGATATTGCAATGCGTTAAAGTTCAAAAGGTAAACGGCGGGATTGTGCTGCGCAAGTGGAAAAGTCAAACTGGGTCTCTTACTTACACCACACAGCCACTGAAAACATTGTTTGATGGAAAGATACACAAAGATACTACACACAACTTCAACATAAAGATACAGCACACAAAACCAATTACTCAAACCAACACAATGAATTGCAACACATAACAACTACTGTTCAAGCATTAAACACAACTGTAGGTATAAATTCCAAGGATAGAGTTTCAAGGGATCGGACCCTTGGAAATACGAGACAAACAGCATGGTCTAAAACCGATCCCCTGCAGCCTAACACATGTAAAGACATAAATGGTGCGCTTGTCGCACTTGAGAAAGGGTCGCATAGCATGTCAGGTGCAGTGCGTTGATAAGTAGTTTTAAATAGGTTTAGTTTTCATGTATCCTACTTATAAGAGAACTTCACCAAATAAAATCAGTTTCTAAGCGGAAGTACGACCACACACTACACCATCACTAGAACAGAAGTTACACCGTATTCTTCAACAAATGATTGTTTGCAATTACAAATACAAGGAAAAATAGGTATCATATGCATGGTTCAATTGTGCCAACACCAGTTGCATCGCATCAAGTTCTGCAAATATATTTCAATTCGTCGACGGTGGATCAGCTAAATGTGCGATGCAATATACAGGGAACACAACATTTAAAGAGACGATTTGTTGTTGTACATTTGCAAGAATTTATTTACGGTAATAACGCTGTGGCTAATATGTTAAAAACGGAATTGAAACGAATGCCATCTGATACGCACATTTTAGTCATAAGAGCGGATTTTACCTCAACAGGTGAACATGTGCAAAGATTCAATGCACCCACTGTTAATGATGTTGCTGATATTATTGTTGGCAATCCAACCGAATCGCGAGACATTGTCGTTCAGCGGAGAAGCAATATCATGAATTGTTAAACGAGATACATGGTTTGTACGATGCGTTACAATATCCAATCCTTGGATTGATATTGATATCCAATTGGCAAGAGCAAGACGGATACGACATCACATTGAAAATGGTCGATCCATTTTCTACCATTTTGTACCAATTAGAGGTACAATATTCACACACTAATTATTGCTATTATTGGTTTCCATTAATAATTCATTTCATTTTGCATTTTCAGGAGTATCAACAAATTAAAATCTAAGCGCAATGAATTATTATGCGTATCGTATGATGATTCGTACACAAGAATAGAGTGTCACTCTGAGGTGCCGTCGGCTATTTCAAAAATTCGCTTTCGACATGTCAAAGTTGAGACCGAACGTTTAGCGTTCATCCGATTCAATCAGGCAAAGCTACAATATGAGGACTATATACCCTTGCGTGACGCTATTCATTCAGATGGCAATTCAAGGTACCGCGACTTCAACGACTACAGCGAGTACAAAAACAAAAACTTTGGAAAGTGCCAAAGCGGCCCGGCCACACAGACTGGAACGGATCGCTACATCCAAACTAAGCGCAAGCTTAGTCCGCAGAGTAACCCTGCAAGCAAAAAAAAAATAGCGGCTCAACTGACCGCTGAAACCCAAAGGGCACGGTCTTGCTCACCCGCTTTGCACACTCCAACTCCCGCGTCATGGAGTTCGCAGTGTAAAGCCTCCCTTCAATATCAGAAACAAAATTCGCAACAACAATTAGCAGTGCTTCAATTTCTGCAATCACAGCGACAACCACTGCAATTCAAGGTACCGCGATTTCAACGACTACAGCGAGTGCAAAAACAACAACTTTGGAAAGTGCCCAAGCGGCCCCGTCAACACAGACTGGAATGGATCTCTACACCCAAATGAAGCGCAAGCTTAGCCCGCAGAGTAATCCGGCAAGTAAAAAAAAAACAATTAATCGCTTTCAGAAAATCGACGAATAACCAGGCAGATCCAGTAGTAAAAGATTTTCCCTACCGTCGGAGGTTGAGGAAAACCAATCAGTCCGAGACACCGCAAACAAACCCAAGCCCCCTCCAATCTATATCAGGGAGAAAAGCTCGAGTGCCCTGGTCAACCGAATTGCGGCGTTGATCGGGAACGGTGACAACTTTCATGTTGTCCCGCTTACAAAAGGGAACATCCATGAAACAAAGGTTCAAACCAAGACTGAAGAGCACTTCAGAATCGTGTCTAAATATCTGGACATTGCTCAGAAAAACTATTACACGTACCAGCTGAAAAGCAGTAAGGGTAAAATTAAAGTAAAAGTACGAGTGGTAGTAAAGGGAAGATGTTACCTCCGCGGAAATAAAAACCGCCCTTAAAGAAAAGGGCTTCCCCGCCAAGAATGTTATTAACATTCTAAATAAAGATAAAAAGCCACAACCCTTTTTCAAGTTCGAGCTTAAGCCAGAAAGAAGGTCGCTGAAAAAGAACGAAGTCCACAAAATCTACAAGCTGCAATATCTTTTGCATCGAAAAATCACTGTCGCAGAGCCACATAAACGCAACGGTACAGTGCAATGACTCTTGATATTTATTGTCAAGAGTATGGACATACCAGGTCATACGGCACACTTCGGGCTGTCTGCGTAGTCTGCGGGGACTCCCACAACTCCGCTTACTGCACTACAAGCAAGGACAGTTCCGTGAAGAAATGTGGAAACTGCGGAGGTAACCTTACGGTAAACTATAGAGGATGTATAGTGTACAAGGATTTAAAGATTCGCAAGCGTCAAGCAACCGCAACACGCTACCGAAATTCACAGAATGCGTACATTGCGTCAAAAACTACGCCAGAAACTACGTCGCCAAAGCTGCGAGGTCCCCATTCGGTCCACTTAACACCACCAACGGCTTCTCCTATGCCGACGCTCTACGATCTGGAAGGGAAATTCCAATTCAGTCTAACTCTCAAGGCGCTCAAAAGGCCCCAGAACAGCCACACAGCAAAACACAGCTCCAACAAAGTATGATGGAGCTTATGTCATTCATGAAAACGACCATGCAAACACTTGTTCAAAAGCAAAACATGGTGATACAGCTGCATATAGCACAACAGTCTAAATAATCTAAGCAGACTTTACAAATATCAATATCAAACTAGAATTTTCACAATTCTTGAACGAACACCATATTGACGTTATGTTACACAGATCGTCCGGATGGAATCGATACATCGAGGCCACATCGATACAAATTCAGTCAAGCAACGGAATCCTTTCAATCGCTGCCGTTTACTGCCTTCGTTTCTCAATCTTGGAAGGACAATTATGGACTTCTACAATTAACTTGGAGATCGTTTTCTAGCCGCAGGAGACTACCATAACATACGCCAGATTCCCAAAGAAAGGCAACTGTACAATGCAATTAAAATGTGAAGAATAAACAGGACTATGTTTCCTCTGGAAGTGCAACATACTGGCCAACAGACTCACGCAAGCTCCCAGACCTTATTGATTTTGCGGTGACAAAAAACATACCTCGCAATCTAATTTGCGGCTTAGACGGGATCGACCTCAGCGAAGGGGGGGGGGTGGAGTCCTCATTTCGGTAAATTCTACTCTTGCTTCTGAAGAGGTGAAATCCCAAGAGTTTGGTGACATAGAATTTATTTGTGTTAAAATCACTATGTCCGTGAAAGCTTAATACATGACATGTTCATATATACTTCCTATGTCTGAACCGCCCACATATTGGCAGCATTTGTCCGCCATTCGATACGTCTCTAATCTTATGACGGATCGTGACCAACTCGTAGCGGTGGGCGACTTTAATATCCCAGAATTAAAGTGGTCCAACGTCGGTAACTCACCATCTTTGTCACTTATAACTATACCATGACTTCACCGCGGGCATGTTTGGCATGTCCCTAGGTCAGATCAATTATGTTAGAAATTCGCTAGGTCGGCTTTTAGACTTATGTTTTGTATCTGATCCTGATCCACATGTATTCGCCAGGCCCTGGTGGAGTACCAGGCTGTGTGCTAAAATACTGCGCCAGGGCTCTGTGCAAACCCCTTCTAAGACTAAGACTTTTCACGAACTGGCCTAACCTTGTCTCGCTTGTTTGTTGGGATAAGGAGTTGTTTAGGTGTACCCCAGACTGGTCCGTATAAGTTAATAATAGATAATTTGTGTGTGGGTTTTACAAATAATATTTATTGATCATTTGTTTCGCACGAGCCCGTTAGGGTTAGTGTTACCACTAACCATACAGCATATAGACAACCCATTTCATACAACGAAAATGGACGCGAAAATTTCTTGCGACAGGCCCCAGCAGGCCCCAGAGCGGATTTCTTACGCTCTCTTACGCTCATCGTTCGTTCATCTTACGCTCATTCTCGCATTAAATGTTTTCTGTTTCTCAGTCTCTAAACGGAGCGCGATGAAGAAGGTTGGCCTGCGCTTCGGTTGATCTTCGTATGTATGCGTGCCACACATTCACATACATGGGTGTATGTGTGCGTGCGATTTCGTTTCGAAGCCAGCGCACAAAATTTGGATTTTTCTTACTTTTCAGGCTTGCCACCCTAACAAAATTCGGGTATTCGTTATTTAATGAAATGACGAAAGAAATTATATTATTTTTTATATTATATTTTTTATTATTTCAGCATACGTTTTTAATTTATTTAGGAATAAGATTAAGTGTTAGTAGTAAAATGTTTTCTGTATATATATTTTTACGAATCATTAAAAATCAATATACTGAGAAAGTGTCAGAGTATTTATCAGTCGGAGTCACTTAAAACGCCGATTGCTTTTAAGTTTTTGTTTTTTGCCAAGCAGTCTCGTACTTATCAGCAGACCACTCGCCTGTGCTTCTAACGCTTCTTCTTCTTCAAAAAAATGCAAAAAGTACGTAAGTGCCCACATAGAACTCACCCCGGAGTTTAACATGGAATCGGAAATCGACTACACTACGAGCGCCCTGGAAGAAGTATTCGTTGCGGCAACCAAATCCTTTCCTCCTCATGGGAAGATCGACCTTTCCAACAGCTCGTGCGGGAAATTGGCAAAACAGTAGATCACCAGCTTCAAAACAACAACGAAGAAACCCGATCACTAGACCAGGCTCTTCACCAACAGGAAGAAAATGCACAGCTGAGGTATATCCAGAATCTCTCGCCAACAAGCACAAAGTATCCCCTGTGGAGGGCCCACCCAAATCTTAGCGCCCCAATTGAAAGGACCACCCTGATAAGAAACTCTTTGGAATACTGGGCTCGCAGCGACGAAGACCGAGCTGAAACATTCGCCACACATCTCCAAAGTATTTTTCAGCCAAACCCAGCCTCAAATTCATTCCTCCTGCCAGTAATTCAGCCAGAGTCCTCCTCTCAGCCAGCCGCACCTTCATTCCGGCAGAACGAAATCGAAAAGTGATAAGAGGGCTAAAACCAAAAAAGCTCCCGGTGATGACCTATTGACGCCAAAGATGCTGATCAAACTTCCAAAATGCGCTATAAAGGTCGTCTGGAAACTATTTAAT